AAAAAGGGAAAGAAAAAGATATGAGAAGAGGAAAATAATGGAAACATGGTCTTTGCAAATCGGGAAGGGTGGAGGGGTGAAGGGAGGGCAAGCGAAGGGGAAAAAATAAGAACCAAGAGACTCATGTAATGGCACAAGATCCCAATGATGAATGTAACTGTATTTTATGCCTAAAATGTACCAATAAAGTTAATGGGGAAAAATTAAAAAAAATAACAATGTGAGCAAATATAACCCCAGGAAGACAGAGAACATGAAATAAAACAAGACACATAGACTAAATTGCTCAGTGTCTGGAAGAGAAGAAGCCCTCAAATCCAGTTCATGATGTTACGGTAACGGTTTTCCTCTGTATCCTGATCTTCACCTTCATAATCCTTTTAGAGCACTTAGGAGACACTGCAGAAGGGCACATTTTCTGCTGTTATGGTTGAGACATCAATGGAAGTAGAAACAGAGTGTATAGAGAGAAAAGTTGAAATAATAATTCTTTCCCCATTACAACTAAGGTCATAAAATTTCTATTCCTTATAACTTCTATTTTTCATATATGTACCCTCAATCTGAACATCAAAAATGTCATGATTCTCCTCAGGATAAGCAAATAATAATTTTTATTATATTTCTCATATCAATGAGATTCCTTTACACTTACAGGGTAAAGCTGTTTCTCTGCTGTGCCGTAGTCAAGGAGAGCAGATCCAAAGAACCTCTTATGTCTGCTGCCCAGTGAAGGCTCAGTCTCTGTCTTTGGGATTGAAGTTAATACAAAGCCACAAAGGAGCTTCATAATACAGACAACAATAGAGCCTGGGACACAGGAATGGAGCTGGACACAGGAATGGGGTCACTAAAGGGCTCGAGGTCAATTATTGACTACTCTGTGACCTTGTGGGTTTAGTGCACAGAGCTGGCTCATAATTAGCCCAATTGGTCCATGCCATCCCAATCTCTAAGGAATTCCAAGCACTAATGGAAGAAGGAGATAAAAGGAATATAAGTGTCCACAAGAGATTTTGGGTTCTTCATCTACTCAGATAAAGCTGGTTTGTCCTAATCATTTCAGTCACTTATACACACTTTTAAAATGGTGATTTACCTTTATTTCATATTTAAAGTAAAATACACATAACAGAATAACACTTTTAACCATGATCAATATACTTTAATATTGCTGTGAGTCACTCAGTGTCATATATATTCAAGAATTTTTCATTTTCCAAACTGAAAATTTACGTTCAACTTTAAATTTGATCTTCATCCTCCCAGCATTACTCTACAAAATTAAAGCCATGGAATTATCATACTAATATATCAAAAAAATTAGGAGGTCCTGAGATTTACTGTTCTGCTGTAGTCTCCCCAGTCTACTTATATTTAATTTGTTACTCAGGCTGTGAAGGGATTCAACATAGCGGTGGACATTGTACACATCACTGTGATGGCTGTCACAGTTCTGGTAAAATTTAATAAAGCTGACACAATATATTTTTTTCATTAAGTTTATTGGTACATTTTAGGTGTACAATACAGTTATATTCAACATTGGGATCTTTTCCCTTTACATGACATATATTGGTTCTTATTTTTTCCCCATTCCCCTGTCTTCCCTTCACCACCTCCACCGTTCCCTATTTACAAAGATTTTGTTTCCATTTTTTTACTTTTTTCATATTTTTTCTTTTCCTTTCCCCTACTCCCCCACTTCCCCTACTCCTTTAGACCTTTTCTTCTTACTACAGAATATCAGTTATACATTTTGATCCTTATTTACACTTTTAGTTTTTCACACCAGAGAAACTATTCGGAATTTATACGTGTGTCCTATTTATTTCACTTAAGAGTATGGCCTCAATGTGCATCCACTTAGCTATAAAGGTCTCTAGCTTCTCATTCTTTATGGCTGAGTAGTACTCCTTTTATAAAAAAAACCAAACACATCTTCTTTATCCAATCTCCAGTTAATGGGCAACTGGGCTGCTTCCAAGTTTTAGCTGTTACAAACTGTGCCCCTATAAACATATCACTGTGGTGTGATGCTTTTAATTCTTTTGGGAAGATATCCAGCAAAGGAATAGCTGGGTGAAATGGGACTTCTAATCCTAGTTGTTTGAGGTATCACCATATTGATTCCCACAGTGGTTGCACCACTCTGCACTCCCACTGACAATGAAGAAAGGTTCCTTTCTCCCCACAGCCTCGCCAGCATTTGTTATTGTTATTGTTATTGATAGCAGCCATTCTTTCTGGGGTGAGGTGGAATTTCAGTGTTGTTTTCATCTGCATCTCTCAAATGACCAGTGATGTTGAACATTTTTTCATATGTTTATTAGCTTCTTTTACTTTGCTGTCTGAGAAATGTCTGCTCATTTCAGATGCCTATGTTTGAATTGGATCTTTATATTTGGGGGTCTGATTTTTTTGAATTCTTTATATATTCTAGATAGTAGACCTTTGTCTGAAGAACACCAGTAAAATTTTTTTCTACATTGTACATTGGCAAGACAATATGTTCTTTAACACTTGTTTCACAAAGTAAGCAAGCAACTGACACTCAGGACTCAAATTAGAGCAAATATAATTTTTTTCTATCAAATGATGATTTTGCAGTCATGAAACAATTTTTAAGATGAGAAAATAACCCATAAGTTTGAGGGGCAAAAGAATATGTTATCATCAATACTTCACTATGGTACTGAGGAAGTTGTCCAAATAAAGAAGGTTAAGGAGGAGGGCAGTGTACATAACAAATTAGGAACCTTTCTAGTAGGTAAGCTTTAGAACAATAAAATTATGCTTATAGAAGTCCAAAAAATAAGCAAAATTAAAAATCAATACTGTGACTCCATAAAGGCAACAGTTTGTAATGGCTGAGTAACTTTATGGGTTACAGAGGGCCACAAACTGATCACAGGCCACAACAGTCAGAAGCATGACATCTATACATCCAATGGTGAGAAGAAGATAGCTGTATTAAGCAGAACACTTAGGGGATTACTCTACTCTGAGGTTGAAGTCCACAATTATCTATGGAACCATGGTGGAAGTGAAACAGACTTAGTGATTTTTAACTGCTGTTTATCCACTGACCTGGCTTGCTATCTTCATTTCATCTTGGTTTTTAACTTTATTGGTTTTGTGGATTCATCTAAAATATACTTGAGTATTTTCTAGAGTGCTGGTTTCACAGTCATATATCTTTGGAACTGATCTTTTACAGAAAAGGTCCTAAAGCTTCCTTTGGAAGCTTTTCTGGTTATGTTAATCTGGGTTGGAAGTTGTTTGGCCTCATGCATTGAAATACTTCACTCCAAGCTCTTCTGGCCTTTAAGGCTTGTGTTGAGAAGTTTACTGTAATTCTAATGAGTTTACCTTTATCTGTATTTTTTTGCTTTCCTCTAATTTAAAAATTTTCATTTTGTTCATTTTGTTTGCTACCTGGCAATTTAATAAGAATATGTCTTAGTGGGATTCTTATTTCAATATAATTGTTTGGTGTTCTGGATGCCTCACTTATTTGTATGTAGAACTCTTATATTTGGGAATTTTTCTGCTACAGTTTCTGTAAACATATTAATAATGCCATCTGTATTACCTTCTAGCTTTTCTATAACTCCACTTAGATGTAGACTGGTCATTTTAGTGTCATCTCGTAGGTGCTGGATGGTCTTTTCTTGTTCTCTTATTTTTTGAGGCTTCTCTGACTACTACACAATTTACCATTTTGGTAACAGTATACAGTATACAGTATACAGGTTGTGTGATCTTGGTAGTCTGATTCCACATGTTGCAGGGGATCCCAGGTGATCCTTATTTTGCTCTAAGGTGAAATTGGCAGAGGAGATAATCATGAAAGAAAAGGCACCAAATCTAGTGGTATGTTTGAGCTCTGGCACTGCTGCCCACATCCAACAAAAATTAGTGGTCTGAAGTAGTATAGAACAATATATTGGTGGTCTGATTGTCTTCACTAAAATTACAGTGCTCTTTGTTCTGCTTATGGGATGTTCATAAGTATTTCCTAGGGTTTGTCAATATCCAATCGACATATGATGCCATTGTTGCCACTGAAATTTCTACTATAACCAAGGTAACATAATAGTGGCTGACAAGTGGATTTTTCTCTGTGCCAATATGTGTATTTCTGGGTTGGTCATAAATGAAACAAAATGGATACACACATACATAGGAACATGAGAAACCAAGGCAACAAAAGACCCTCAAGATCTCCCAACTCTCCTAAGGTAGATCAGGGGGCACAAATGGACAGAAAGGCAAATATCAGATAGTGGGATGCTACAAAAAAGTTTATAGAAGAGATTAAAAAACTAGATGTGTTTAAAGAGGAAATGAACTAAAAGTTCACAAAACTATTACTCAAGTGCCCAAAGTGTATATGGGGGAAATAAGTAAAAAATGGAAGAGCTGACCAAATCAGATCAAAACAATAATGACAAATTCATCAAAGATAGAATCTCTGAGATTATATCAGACAGAAATACATGAAATAAAAAACTGTATGCAATTCACAAATTACAGAAATGACCAATGTGAAGAGAGAATGTCTGGAATGGAGGACAAATTTGCCTCCACCACCGTGGGTGATGAAATCTCTTCCTCTGCAATAACAACCTCACTAGAAACTGAGAGCTCAATGTCCCAGCCTCCCCAGGATGCTCCGAAACATCTCCACCCCAATTTATGGGATCCCATTCTTTTCACATTATTGTCTTCACATTTACTTCAGATAATCTTTGAGGCTGAGTGTTAAATTTTGCTGTAGTTCAGTCAATTGAATTATGAGGGTCTGTGTTTGGATTTCTGCAATCTCAGCCCTGTGGCTAAAGGAAGGAATAGTCTTTTCTAGGACACACTTAGAAACTTTTAGAGTCTTTATGTGCATATGGAGCTGTGAATTTGAATCTTTGACTTCTTTATTTTTCTTCATTAATTTGTTCTCACATTTAGAAGAGTTGAGATTTTCTATGCATGTTTTGCATCCATTATTTTCCTCCATGAGTTTATTCAGAGATGATAACCAACCAGACAACAGCATTATATTTCTCACTGCTGCAAAATGTATCCTAAAGTGTCATATATGGAGTCACTAAATTCTTTATATTTCTCAAGTGGTGAATTCGGATAATCAAATAAATCTACATGGTATATCACTTTAAAGAGTTTACACCAAGGACTATCAGTACTCTGCACATTATCAGAAGGAGAGACTTTGGCCTCTTTTGGTCTCATCAAATTCGAGAGTCAACTCCAGGAATCCCTAAAGCCATTAAAGAATTGCATTATTACAATTTTGTTTCTTTGAAGCCACTCCTGGTACAAAATCTGTATCAGTCAGGGATCATTAAAAAACAGATTTGATAAAGGGCAAAGACTGGCAGTCCTCTGCAAAAAATAGAGTGAGTCTTCTTTCTTCTTTCCTTTTTTTTAATTTTATTGAGGCTATTGGGTAGTGCCACTTACACCCAGGATGGGTCTTTACTTTTCATTCAGTCCATTCAGTCACAACATGAACTATGCTAAGCCAATCAGTTGGACACTTCTTACTTAAGCTGACACAATGGTTAACTATCACACATACCTAAAATATACTTACTATGGATTTACTGATAATGAAAAAATTTTAAATAATTTATATTAAGATTACATCATGATCTTTTAAGGTGTGAAGAACACAACAACTATTGCCCTGAAATATAGTAGTTACATACACAGGTAGATTTAAGTCTCTCTGTGAAGCCACTTGAAATGCTTTCACTGATGCACTGCTTTATTAGATAAAAGGATGTGATATAATTTGTTAGTGCATTATTATGACAATATTCTTTCAACATACTTATGCTTCTCATCACATCACAAAAAAGAAAATTATCAGATAGTATGTGGGTAGAGACTGCGTTTGAAGTCCAACAACTGAGGTATACTGAATTTTACAACTGATCACATATTTTTTTCAATAAAAACCAATAAGGTTTGTCTAGTAATAATCCCTGCATGATTCCTGATCAAGATATGTCATCTTGCATAAGAAAATTTTCCACTTGGTTCCATTAGAGAAAATTGGAATCTGGAATGAGAGTTAAGAAATTAATATTTTAGACATGTACCACTGACCTGTTACTAATGTAGTGTTTAAATCTATCCACCTCTCTTAGCTGTTACTCCTTGTTGGCAGTATGGATGGAATTACCCAGCTTCACAACATTTGTGCACCTAAAGGAAATTTGGAATTTAAATATTTAGTTATTATAGTCTTGTTTAAATAGAGTACTCTATCTTTATACAAGTAACATGTTTATTGCTAGATAGAACTGTGAACAGGCACTGGGCTGTGAAAGGATGAAAAACACTAAAATGTTCCTTAACCCCATTTGCAATATTACTCTGTCCTCTTTGTGAATATTTTAGTTTTACACCAAGGAAGATTTTTCTCATGATCTTTGAATAATTTAATGTTGTAGCATTTGCTAAATGAAGATACAGGGACCATGTGTTCATAATATAGACACAAACAAGAACTCTTTTACCTTGTTTCTAGTGCCATGTTAGAGTTTCATCTCTAACAGAAATGAAAGTGCAGGTAGGAAAGTATCAGTCTGTAGTAGCTACAGTGATTATGTTCACTTATTGTGAGCCAAAGAAGGGTCTATTCAGTGTTTAACAGAAAACTTTACTGTTTATTTCTCTTGCATACCAAGACTGAGATAGGATTTGAGGAGTCAGAAATGAAAGCCAGTCAATCTTTTCCAAATACATGACTATCATGATGCAAATACCAAAAAAAAGTCTCAAATAGAAAAATGAAAACAACTATAGATCCCACTTATTTTGTTTGAATGGTGTGAAATTGTGTATTATATTATTAGTTTTATTCAGAATATCTAAATCACATTTAGGATCATATTATACATCTACTACCTATTAATAACAGGAGCATTCATTATTTATTTAACCTATACACTATACAGTTGTACCAACTAGAAATAAACTTCAATGACAATGCTGAGTCTCAGAGTTATGAATAACCTGCCATATGATACAGAAATAAAGGATGGAGACAGGATTCAAAATTAAATTGTTGGTCCCTGTCCTTGATCCACAAATGTTTTTCTATGTTTTCATATCAGCAGAATATTTCCAGCAGAGTTTCAGAGGTCTGCATCACACTTTTGTCTGAGGAATGTTAAACTCTTTCCAGTTTCCTTGGCAAGAATCAAATCAAAAAAATTTTAAAAAACCAAAAAAATAAAAAAAACCAAATTAATTAATTAATAAAATAAAATAAAAATAAAACAAGAATCAAATCAAACCCTGAGTTTACTTCTCTTCTTAAGTTTGAAAAGAATGAATAAAAGTTTGGAGGAGAATGTGGAGGGATTCCAGAAAAGTCTGGAGTGTTGAACAAGAATGAGGTCAGTTCTAATCACTGTGGTCCCTCTCTATCTTTGATGTTTGCCTCTGATCTCAGAAATCCTCCCTAGAGTGGATGCAGTAGGTGTCACCTCTCCTTTCTCCAGTGATCCACTTGGCACTCCAAAGAATAGAGCATGGTGAGAAAGGGGTCCCTTCCTGGAGAGGCAGGGAAGAGAGATGAGTGTTTGGATTGTCAAAGGAACTGTGTATGGAATTTGCCTGGCACCATGCCCTGTATCACACAGCCTTATGTAAGCACATCTTCATTCTTTTCTACCCAATAGCCTGTAATTGATTACACAAAACACTGTACTACCTTTTTTACTCTTAAAATAATATAAGAGCTTATCCTTGAATAACACTGTACAGATAAAATGAACCAATTTACAGGAACACAGAAGTGAGATGATCCCATTTAAAAATCTCTCAATATTGGTTCACAATACTGTGATCATCCTCATCATTACACTTGTAATCCTTTTGAGGTATTGAGTAAGCAGTTTATAGACAGCCAAAATGTACAACCATGGATTAGATGTATTTCGGGAGCAGAAACAGTGTGGGAATAAAGAAAAACCAACTGAAATGTTTATTCCTCCATGAAAATCGAGTCTAAACTTCAAAGTACTCAGGTAATACTGTTGACAATCCAATCAGCCTGTCTCACTATCCACTTTCATGTATGTGTTCATGATGGGCAACAATGGTTACAATAGCCCTTTCTCCACCCATCGTCTCCCTCAACACTTTCTGAGTAATGCTGTGGCTCTACTGGGTTCTGTCAAAAACTATGAATCCCATACCACTCAGTAGCCTGAATACTAGAGAGAGCTCTTAGTCATCTTAAGGAATCAACCATGTCAGATATGGTCTATTTCAGAAAACCATGAGAGTAACTAGCAATTGTGCCAAATGGAATGGAACAATCAAAATGAAAGACTGGAGGAATGGATGAATACGGACTATTTTAGAACCTTGGAGTCTCAATGCACACCATTAATAACTACCTAAATGGAACCATGTTATTGCCATTTCTAACTTCTGAAATTAAATGGAAGTTGATGAAAAAAAGAGAAAATGAATATCCAGAAAAGACACCGGGTTCTTCCTTTATTTAGGAGGAATTTCAAGTGTACTATTTGGTAATTTATTCCTTAAAAAAATAAAGTCCCTGATTGGAACTGAAAGAGCACCCTTGTAATATCAGCAGTTGGGAGGCTGAGGCTGGAGGATCATCATGAGCTCAAGGCAAGAATGAGTTACATGGTGCATGAGGAAAAGGTCCTCAACATTTTATTTTTATTGTTTATTGTGGTAAGATATAAATGACAAAATGTTTCATTTTAACTAACTTTAAGCACAGTTGATATCATTAATAACAGTATCTTTTTGTCCAAACATTACTCTTACTAATCTTTAGAAAATTATTATCTTCCCAACTGAAACTTTGTACTCATATGAAAAATCCTAAATTCCACTATTACTCAATCAACCATGACTCTAATATGAAACACCAAAAGTCTAAAATAATGTGACGAGGTGTGCAGCCAGGTGGGCACTGATGTGAATAATCCACATTAAGGACAGGGTGAACTATATAGTAAGACCCTGTCTTGAGAAAAAAGTTCTCAAAATTTTATTTCCATCGTTCATTGGGGTAAGATATAAATATGTTCATTTTTAATTAAAATTGTTTCATTTTAACTAACTTTAAGCACAGTTTGATAACATCAATGACAGTACTTTTTGTGCAGACATTACTCATACCCATCTTCAGAAAATTATTATTTTCCCACCTGAAACTTTGCACTCATATGAAAAACACTAAATTCCACCATCACTCAATTAGCCATGACTCTAATATGAAACACCAAGTCTAAGCTAATGTGACCAAAGAGATAGTATTCATAGGTGAATTTGGGCTGTATAGTATTTTCAAACCTCCATTCCAAATGAATGCCAAATATCCTGGGATTAAACTCTCCAACTGTGGAGCCTCTCTAGTGTTCTGCTAATGTCCCTGTTCCTCAGGCTGTAGATGAAGGGATACAGCATAGGTGTGACTACAGTGTACATCAGTGAGGCCACCATGCCTTTGCTTGGAGAATATGCCTCAGCTGAACCAATGTAAGTTCCAATAGCTGTCCCATAAAATAAGCAAACAACTGACAGGTGAGAACTACAGGTAGCAAAGGCTTTGTACCTCCCACCAGATGATGGTATTTTGAGAATGGTAGAAACAATTTTATAGTAAGAGAAAAGGATCCCTAACACGGGAATAAAGCCAAATATGGCACCACCAAAATATGTGACAATAGTTTTGATTAAGGTATCAGAACATGAAAGGTTAAAAACTTGAGAAGGATGACAGAAGAAATTAGCAATTTCCACATCCTTGAAGCAGGTAATTTGTAAGGCAACTAAATTGTGCAGCTGGGTGTCCAAAAGGCTAATAAAGACAGAAAGCAAAAGTAATAAGACACATAGATGAGGGTTCATAATGGCTGCATAGTGCAGGGTGTGACAGATGGCCAAAAACCGGTCATAAGCCATCACAATCAAAAGCATGTCATCGATACAGATAAATATCATAAAAAGAGACATCTGTGTCAGGCAGCCCACATAGGAAATGACCCTACTGTGAGTTTGGATGTCTACAATCATCTTTGGGACTGTAGTGGAGATGAAACAGATGTCAACAAAAGACAGGTTGGAGAGGAAGAAGTACACGGGGGTGTGGAGGTGGGAGTCAGAGCTGACGGCCAGGATGATGAGCAGATTCCCAAGCACAGTGACAAGGTACATGGACAGGAAGAGTCCAAGGAGGAAAGGCTGCAAGTCTGGGTCCTCTGAGAAACCAATGAGATGGAATTCTGAGATAGAGGTTAGATTATGTGGTTCCATAATGCTTCAATACCTTTACAAAAATTAAGTGGAAAAAATGAAAGCAATAAATAGCACATACAGCTCTCTGTACGCAATAAGTGCATATTTTCCATGCAAAATATTCCATGTGGTATATAAAACTTTTAGTCCTATTTCTCCATTGTGAAAACCCTGTTCTCAAGAACATTTTCGGTATTAGGGTATTCATTATCTACCTTGTTCTCTGCATTCCTCCCTTGCATTCTAGTTTACAAAGTTAGAACATGAGAGTTCATAATTCTATGATCTCAATGAAATACTCCTAACTCTTAAAAAATGAACAGATAATCCTATTAAAGTTTTTTAAAATTTAAAAAATTTAACAAAAGAAAGTTAAGAAGCTTTCAAATATAACTTATTCTTAAATTCCTTTACATAAGTCATCCATATTTACTATAATATCTAGGTTTGCATGGTCTGAACCTTAAATTTGATTGTTGATAATCAAAGTACAAAGTGTTGAGCCAGTTAACTCCCAGGAATTTTTCATCATTCTTTAGGTTTGTGAGGCTCATTTTTCAAGGATGTAGAGCTCCTGTAGTCTTTGTTGTTCATAAATGTTTTAATATATAACTCCTATATACATCTATGGTGAACCCAAATTTGAATAAGCAAGTTGAAATGGATGTGTATAATATCATGATATAATAATTATGGATGTGGAATTAGTGCATGCTGTACTTTTCAATAATTAAGAATAGTAAGATGGGCCGGGGATTTAGCTCAGTGGTTTCCCAGCCTGCTGTGCAAGTGCAAGGACCTGAGTTGGACCCTCAGTACAAAAAAAAAAAAAGAAAGAAAGAAAGAAAGAAAAAAGAATCGTAAGCTATAAGAAGCATATTTGACATTTTAAATTGTATACAGATTTATTTTAATCACTTCCTAAAATATCACTAAATATCTGCCATGGAAGACAGTGATTTGCTCTTTTTCTTGATCCCATATTCTACACCAGCATGCTAATATGCTTAATTATTTTTCTAATCATAAACCCTGTTATGACTAGTGGGAGAATTTGAGACACAAGAAAATCCCAAAGCCCAGGCTAACTTCAAACGTTGCTAAATCTTATTGACAGTGTTTTTGATTCAATTTTTCATGATACATGATTTTCATTTTTCTTAGTTTAGTTACCTGGAAGAAAATTTGACCCTGTGTTTTTTCAGGTCACACCACAATTCAATTGTGAAAAAAGCCAAATAGGGGAACATGAAATAATATTAACACACCTGGAACACACCTACAAAAGAAAAAGTGCATGAAATACTGTAAACATACCTGTAAATAATGTAATACCCCCTTATCTGTAAAATGGGGATAACAATGACCTACCATATATAGTTGGCCTAAGAAAGTATTTGAAAATATTTAATTTGAATCTCTGGTGACTCTAATACACACACATATATCCTAGAGATATATTTCAGTATCCACACCTTCTGGACTCAGACCAATGGGTTAACATATTACCTATATATTTTATTTTTTGGTTACTATTTACCCTAGGGTTGAGCACCACAGTTTTAGAATATTTCCTGACATTCAGAAAGTGCTCCATTAATATTACTTCTCTATATGTTTATATTTAAAGATACATTAATGTTTTCATCACAATTAATATTTTTAGAGATTTGAACTATTACCAATAAAATTTGAATTGTTGGTATCTCTCTATAATTCTATTTTCTTACACACAAAATTCCTCTCCAAGGAATTTGTTGTCATGAATTTCATGAGTAGATTTTCCTGTCAATATTTTCAGGTCAATATTGATTTATAAATCCACAGTATTTTTTAGAAATAATGTATTTTTTAGAAATATGTACTCATATAAAAAGTACCTAAAGCTTATATAAGTTGTGTAGAACACAGCATTTATTGCCTCTGAAATGGAGAATCTTTCACACACTCCGTTTTAAGTCTTCATTGACTAATGAAAACCATTACTTGGGGAAACGTCATATAAATTGTAAGTTTATTATTACGGCAATCTGTTTAACAATCTTCTGCCTCTCTTCCTCTCAACCAAGCTAAGATATGTATACAGTATAATATATTGGTGAGAAATACTTTGATTTCCAACAAATAATATATTAAAATTTTTACTATTTTTTTCCAGAAAAGTCAGTCTTAATCATTTACAATCTCTTGTTCTTGAGGTAAAACTTCAAAGTATCCTTGGAGTCTTCCAGTAAGTAACTTTTTAGGATAATACACAAAAGATTTTCAACATCTTGGAGAAATAACATATACATTTTGCTGCAGTGGATGACAGGGCCCTAGAATGGAACTTGGGAAATTAACACTTTAGTTCCCTTTCATTGATCTGCTCCAACATGCATGGTGTGTGTGAAATTGTCCTCCTCTCCATGCTCACAAAGCTTGTGGAAAATAAAGACAGCAACCCTCATCTTCATGTGTGTGGCAACTAAAGGAAGTCTGGCATACAAGTAGGTGGCCACTGTAAGTTTTTGTTTTTAAAATACAGAATTATATCATTATGTCTGTAGGAACTTTACTGATGAAAACAGTAACTATATTCCAGTGGCACCAGTGCCTGGAGTGATATGAAGTTCTATAATGCATCTTAGAGTGCGGTATACCATTCACTTTCTCCCTTCTCTTTGTGCCTTTTTAAACCTATTATGAGTATCTCTGCTTTGTTTTTGAATAATGGATGTAGATGCAATGAGATGGATTACACATATTCATGACAGAGAAAAAGACAGCTATTATTTTGTCTTTTCATCTATAGAACATTTGTGAAAAGAAAGAACATGAAGATGGGAATGTGGCAAGCATCTTCACATCATGCTGAATAAGTACAAGTACTTTGACCTGAGGAAGTGGCCATTCAATTAACAGATGTTATTTTGCATGCCTCCTCTTGCCAAACAAGTCTTAGGCTCTAGGGAATCAGTAAAGATATGAAGGACTGTACATGATTCCTCTACAAACATATGCACATAAATACACAAAGACAAAAATAAAATGTCCCGCTACAGAAAGAGGAAAAGAGTAACTAAGTTCACAGGACATAATTGGTATAAAGGTTATCCTTATAATTAATTATAATGATAACTAAATTTTACTTTGCTCTAACTTTATGTACATTAACCCCATGGAACACTCCATATCTGCATAATCTCTTGTGCAGTTGTTGCAACTGGAAATCAACACTAATGACAATGCTACCTCAGAAATTTTAAAAATATTTGCTGCTCAACAGAAACAAGAAATAGACCTGAAAATTAAAAATTGACATATGCTGTCCAATGCACTAATTCTTTTCATTGTTTCCCAACCCACAAAAAACTTGAAGCAGTTGTTCAGAGGTCTTAACCACAAGGCACATGTGAGTTACATTTTTAACTCATATGCTAAATGGAAATACAAGGGGGGGCTTGATAGCCCCATTTGAGTTTGTGTGAAAGAATGAAACTGCAAGAGTATCTTGCAGTGGTGACAGGAAAATAATGTGAATTATGAAGTGTACACTATGATCTTTGCCTGTGATCGATACCTGTCCATCCTCTGGTAGATGTAATAGGTGACACCCACTGCTCTGGAATCTATCAGGAACCCCCCAAAAGGAAGAATGAGGTGAGCAAGTGTCCCTTCCTGAAGTGACGGGGAAGTGACATGGTTGCCAGGATTACTCTTTACATAATGCCCTGTCTCTATAATCACACAGCCAAATTCAAATGTGACATGTTTCTACTTAATAACCTACTGAAGATTTCATTGAAATGACAGTCCTTTCCATTTTCTTTTCTTTTCTTTTTTTGTTACCGGGGATCAAACTAAGGACCTTGTGCATGCAAGGAGGGCACAGTACCACTGAGCTAAATACTGGTCCTTCCTTTCCATTTTCTTTAAGCAGTAATGGTGTGGACAGTTATAATTCCAGGAAGACAAAGCACATTAAATGAAACCGGCGGCATAGAACACATTGCTCAGTGCCTGGAATATAGCAAGCCCTCAAAACAAGTTAATAATTGTTACTATCCTACACTTGAACATCTTTATTATCATCTTCTTCCTCCTTTTGGAGTGCTTAAGAAACTGCAGAAGAACACGTTTTTGCTAATATGAGACTCCAATATGAATTACGAATGGTGTGTGTAGAAAGCAAATTTGAAACAATCATTCTGCTTTCTTCATCAAAGCTAAGAATATAAAATATCCATTTCACATAACAGATATTTTTCATATTTGTACCTTCCCATCTAGATACCCTGTCATATTTGTCCTTATGATAATGAAGCAACATTTCAAGGATCCTTCTCACATCAATGACTTACCTCTGCACTTACTGGATGATACTCTTTCTCTGCTGGCTCATAGTCAAGGAGAGCAGACACAAAGATCCTGCTATGTCTGCTGCCCAGTGAAGCCTCAGTCTCTGTCTTCAATACTGAAATTAATGCAAAGTCAGATAGGAGCTTCCTGATGCAGACAACCGTGGAGGCTTAGACACAGGCATGGGACTCACAGGACTGAAGTCATCAAACTGAAGGGTTGGAGGCACAAGCTAATTATTGACTACTGTATGACTTTGTAGGTTCAATGCACAGCCACATAATTAGCCACAATGGTCCATGCCATCCCAATCTCTAAGGACATCCCAACCTATTGGAAGAAGGAGATCATAGGAAAATAATTGTCCACAGAGTTTCTTCCTTTACTCAGGGAAACCTGGTATGTCCAAACCACTTCTGTCATTTATGTATTATTTATAATTGTCCATTTACATTTATTTCATTTTGTAATCATGTACACATAAGAAAAACTTCACAATTAAACCACATTCAGTATGCACTTCAATGACTTTAATTACATACACATTGTTTTGAAACACTAAACATTGTATAAATGGAGAATATTTTCACGTTCAAAACTGAAAATTTATACTGAATTTTGAAAGGACTGCTTATTTTGTCTTTTTGTTTGTTTGTACCTTTTTTTCTCCTATTATCTGAAGTTACTTTTGAAAGAGCCAAGTAGGTGTTCTGTGATAGTAAGAGGATAGGAATCTGAGCTATTGCTCATACCAGGCTACACTAGATTTTCTGATTTCACTCAGAGGGATGTAGGAGAATGGAATCATGTGGACACAAAGAACTTGGTGAGAAAGCAAATATTAAATATTCATACTTGCAACCTGTTAATTGGTTGACAATAATCAGATGCAAAATCAGTTCACTTTTTCTAGATGTCATGATCTACTTAAAGGAATGGGTCTCAATTTTTATTTAATAAATGAAAACTGAGGACTTCAGGTGCAGATATTTTGATTAAAATAATTTTGGGTTTATGTAATGGTATATGGATACACCATATCACATAAATTGATGAATGAGATTGAAAATCAATATTCTATTCAATTTAAATAATGTTTTAGATTTTTTGAAACAATGTTTAAAGTAATTATTTTCCCCATATTACCAATGGTAAAACTGCTTGGCTGTTTTTGTACATAAATTAAAGGACTTTTATCTTTTGCAAATGTTCCCAATTAAAACTTAATAAGAACTGACAAAATAAATGACCCTAGTACTAACATACTGCTAACTCCAGCTCTTTCTAAAATCAATACACAATGAAAAAGTGAAAGAAGAGAAAGAAAAAATAAAAATGCATTTTGTTGACAGCACTGGTGTAAAGAAGAAAGGAAGGTGAGACATTTGAGAGTGTATGATAGGGGAAGGAAGTTAATATGAAAGGAGGAAGGAGTTGAAACACCAATGAGAGTACAAGAAGATTGGCAGTTTTATTACAAAACTTAATGTGTAACTGTTAGCCTTATGAAACATCACTTGAACTCAGAAAATTTAGTGTATTCCTATGCTCCCAAAGTTTACATCAATATTTATATATGTACCATAACTTGCCCCCGAGTACCTAAAGCTCATTTAAGTGTACATTACCATCCTTATTGCTTTTAAAATGTGTTAGTTTGCATCATTATGCAGATTCAACTCTCTTTGAAATCCATACAGCTGTACTTCAAATCCTTTAACTCACCTATAGTATTGTCTGATAGAGGGACATAATTTAGTCTCTAACTTTATTTTGATAAATCTCTGCAAAATTCTTTCTCCACAACATTCAAGAGAGAATTTCTATGTAATATGTGGGAAAAGAATAGTTGGGTGACCTTCATAATCAATGCATGTGCCATTTTACTATTAATCACCTACATATTTTGTCTCAACATATCAGTAATTATCATATAAATTAGTCATGTTCATGTAAAATTTTTTCTTAATATAGAACATCAAAATATCACAAAGTTCTGTCTAGTAATAATGTTTTCAAGATAAATAATAACATATCTTATATCGTGTTGAGAATGACATTCTAAATTACTCTAGTAAGAAAGACTGTAGGAGTCAAGAAATACACATTTTGTGCTGTATATTGTACTGCTACAATATCGAGAAGGGGTGTAAATATCTGCAACCCTCTGTGTTTATACTACTTATTTTTAAAAGCAAATAACACATACTTTCTCAGCATATGTGACATATAAGAAAGAATAAATAAAAGGAAGGAAAAAAGGAAGGAGGAAAGGAAGGGAAAAGAAAAAATCACTAAAAAAATTGTAAAAAGATTATAGTACTCTGAAAAAGGAGATTGGAGGAGATATCAAAAAAGGGAAAGATACTCCCTGTGGCTGGATAGGAAGAATGAATGAATAGTGTCAAAACCGTCATACTACCAAAATGGGTATATAGATTTAATGCAATTCAAATCAAAAAGGCAACAGCATTTGTCACACAACAACAACAACCTCTCTGAAAATTTATATGGAATCAGAGAAATCCAGAATAGCAAAAGCCGTCTGGGAGGGAAAATCAAACACAAATCAGGAGGCATCCAGAGCTCAGGTTTAAAGTTAAATTACAAAACTATAGTAGTAAAAATAAACTGGAATGTGAAGAAAAGGATATGCAGATCAATGGAACAGAATAAAAGATAAAGAAAATATCCCAAACACATTAAGTAATCTGAACTTTGACAAAATATCAAGAGCTTACCCTGGAAGAGCCAGTTGTGATACATGCCTATAATCCCAGCACTCAAGAGGCTGAGACAGGAACATCACC